GGGCCCACGGGGCAGCTCTCCTGGAGGAGGTGCCGTCACCGTCACCTGTACGTAGAGGCTGTCACTCCTGAGGCGTTTGTCCGCCAGCAGGTCATTGATGCTCCTCTGGGCCTGGTCTTTTAACCCTGCGAGGCAATGACTGGCCTCAGGGGCTCCTGGGCCCACAGGCCAGGGTGCCCCCACCCAGCACCWGGGCCAGCAGCAGGTGCAGGAGGCCGGGAACCCCGGGGGCCAGCGGGGGTGGCAGGAGGACCCTTGGAAGGCCCTCGGGTGGCGGGGCCTGTAATTACAGCCGGCTGCCCTCACGGACCGCCCACCACGCTCTGGGGGAGCCGTGAAGGTGACATTAATATTAATTTAATATCAATATGTAAACCCCCCGGGGAGGGGGGAATCACCACCCCCAAGGAAGAGAAGAGGAAACCGAGGCACCGAGGGGCTCAGAGCTCACCCCTGGCTGATCCCACAGCTGGCCCACGGCCCCAGGGCTGGTGACAAAAGGGCAGTGTCCCCAAGAGGTGACAGGAGCCACAGCACACTCACCYTCAAACTGGGCCGCCTCCCCATGGCCCTGGTCTCTCTTCTCTTGGAATAGTCGGAGGCAGGCGCTGGGGCTGGCCAGGAGCAGCCGGAAGCCCTGGGCAGAGGCAGGGGCTCAGGTGCAGGGGACCCTGGCCCAGACCGGCCCAGCTTGGGGGCCAGGCCGTGCATGGGGCTCCCGGCTCGTCTCCGTCCCTCCCACCAAGGCAGCCTGCAAGGCCACAGCTCCCCGGCCGGCTCCCCCACCCCGGGCCTCCACCTGCTGCTCTGGGGCCCAGTCCAGGCGGCTCCCCCAGGGACAGAGGTGGATCAGCACGCTCCTCCTGCGCCCAGGCCTCCCGCCACAGCCTCTCCCTGGGCTGGAACCACCCACCGTCCCTGGGAGCCTGCCCTCCCCCCTCTGCAAGGCRGAGGAGCTCAGAGGTTAAGGTGGTCACCAGGGCCCACATCTGGATTGGAACCCCACTCTGCCACCTGTAGACTGAGTGAGCTGGGGTAGGTCCGGCCCCTYGGAGCCCCAGTTCCCTTACCTGTAAAACGGGGGCAATAGTAAGAGCACCTGACTCCCGGGCTTGCCAGAGGGCCACGTGCATTAMAGTGTGTGGCGTATTTGGCACATAGTAGGGGCTCAGTAAGCTCCACCAACTAGGAWCAGTGCACTCCTGGCTCTTGGCTGAGGGTTTGGCTCTGAACGCACACTCAGTGTGAGAACGAGTGTGGGCGGTGAGCAGGTGAGTGCCCGAGGCTCTCGCCTCCTCCAGGAAGCCGCCCTGATTAACACCGCCTGACGGAGGGTGCCCTGGCCCGGAGCTCACTCTGGACACAGGGCTGAGCTGGTTCCAGGTGGCTTTGCCCTGGGGCATCCCTGGGGTCAGGCAGGAGCAGAAGGGTCTCGGGGGAGGGGGTGGGACACACCTTTTGGTCGGAGGTGGGCACGAAGCTCAGGAACTCGTCCACGTGGCCCACGGAGAGCCAGTCGGAGTACAGCTGCACGGGCGCCTGCACCTGCTGGGCCCACAGGAAGTCGCGCACCACCTTGGCCATGCGCCGCCCAACGGACCTGCCAGGGAGGGACACGGGCAGTCACCCAACGAACGTCATCCAGGGTGCCTGTCCCCCCACACCTTCCTCGAGACCAGGAATGTGTCCCTTGGCTCAAAGGAGTCACCGCAGAGAGCTCCATCTAGTAAAGGAATGGAGACCCCATCCACAGCCCAGACTCAGAGAGGTTGACCTCCTACTCAGGGGACACACAGCTTTTACTCAAAACATGACCAGATCTGATAAGGCCCTCCCTCAGCCCCAGGTTCCCAAYGTGCAGGCCTGGGTGGCCGGGGCTTCGATTCCGCAGGGGTGGTGCGGGGGGCCGGGGTCTGATGCCCACCACACCTCACAGTCTTGGAGGATGTGGCTTAGGAATGTGGGGTTTTGATGACCATCTGACTCTTGGGTGCTCCAGAGCTTGGGAACCACTGCCTGGCCAGCCAGGGGCTTAGAGAAGGGGACGGTGGAGCCGGGCAGCACCCCCTGCTGTGGGAGATGATTCTGTGCTTGGAGGGACCCTGGTGTCCCCACTTCACAAACCAGCCGAAGTTAGGCGCGCCTGTTACCCCCGGGACATCGCGTCGTCCTGGCCACACACACACACACACACACACACACACATACACACACACACATACACACACACACATACACACATACACACACATACACACACATACACACACACACACACACACACACACACACATGTCCCATCTATTTGGATACTTTTTTCAATTTGCTTTCTACGTCCTGCCCTTGCTCGTCTAGCTGAAGGTCACATCGTGGACAAGCTCCCAGGCCTGCACTCAACGGTGGCTCCACCCCAGACAAAGAGCAGAAGCCAGCCCTGCGCCCTCCACTGGCCAGCTACWCCCTGTGACCCGTCCTCCTCAGTCCAGCCGCAGGGACTCCTGCTGACCGACCCAGCCCTGGGAGGCATCAGACTTTGCCTCTGAGTCACCGTCAAAGCCGCCACCAGGGGGCGGAATTGCTTAAAGAATGCTCTGAGCGCAGGGCAGCGGGTGGAGAGCTCGGGGGCTGCAGGACTCCACCGGCTCCACTTTACAGATGAAGAAGCCGAGGCTCGGGAACACGGAGTTCTGCGGGTTTGCTCGCAAACCCTCGTCACGGTCCTGCGCTACTTCTCCGTTAGGTGGGCTCCTGGCCTGCCTCTTCCTGCCAAGAGTGAACTTGGGCAGGCTCGATGCCGAGGCCCGAAGCCAGGGCAGGGACAGGGCAGCGGCCCCAGCTGCTAGCCTTTGGTYTGGGAGCCACGAGGAGCTGGTTCTGACTGGACCATGAACATGCTGTGGGACCCTAGACAGGATGAGCCTCGGGGTCCCATTTGCCCACCAAGGGTCTTGTTCTTGACCTTTAACCGCTCATGGGGTGGGGCACCGCCACACTGGACGCCCAGCCGGCACCCCTCCCTGTGCCCGGGAGCTCCAGGGTCCTGGCTCTGCTGGCTGGYGAGGGAGGCTRGYGAGGGAGGCTGGYGAGGGAGGCTGGYGAGGGAGGCTGGCCGGGTRGGCAGGGAGGGTGTATGTGGGTGGCAGTGTGACAGAGACACGTAGGGACACAGGCCAGAGAGGGGGACACAGTCCTGGACTCCTCCGGAGAGCCTCCCCTTCCTGATCCTGTGTTTGCTGAGCCCTTCAGCCCTGACACCGGGTCCCCAGGYTGCTGAGGCAGGGACAGCGTCATGAGGCCTCGGAGCCCAGGGCTGTGGCCGACGACTCTCCCTAAGTGGGGCCTGGCTGAGCCCTGCCTGGGGCGGACCCGTCCATCCCTGCCCTGCCGTCCATCGCTGCCTCCACCTCTGCCTCCACCGCTGCCTCCCGCAGCTCCCGAGACCTAACTCTGGCCTCCAGGTCCCGGTGGGAGGTCCCTCTACCCYGTGGCGCCCTCTGCTCAGCTTGGCTCCGGCTCCAGGACTCATCCACGCGGCCGCTGCCACAGACGTCCCTCTCTGGTCCCACGGGGTGTGGTCAGCCTCAGTCGCCTACAGACCCTCGAGGGCTGCTTCCTTGCCCAGCCTCTGCCCTGAGCATGGGAATTGTGGATTCTTGCACAAAGGGGGTCACTGGACGTGCTGGTCTGTAAGATGGGGACAGTGACGTCCCAGCAGATGGGGCTGTGTGTGGGGGGGGTGACCTGGGCAGACCTTTATGGGACTGGCACAGAGTATGTGGCCAGGGACTTCCAACCCCAGACCATCGCTGGGGGATGGGGGGGACAGCCAGGGACACCCCAGCACTCACGAGGTGCCAAGGGGAGGGTCTGTCCCCAGGGACGCTGACCAGGTAGCTGGAAGGGGTCRCTGGGCTCTGAGGCATGGAGGAGGAGCACAGCGTTGGTTTGAAGTGTGTCCCTAGGCCCCTCCCTAGTGCCCTCAGCCCAGCCTGGCATCAGCCAYCGTTTTAAGTGGATTAAGTGAGCACCTACACGGGCCTGGCACCACGGCAAGCCCCCAGCAGCGGACAGACCCCACCGCGAGGCTGGCGAGTGGCAAGGCCAGGACTCGCACCCAAGCCCCTCGGATCCCAAGGCCACAGCAAGACCATCTGGAGGCCACAGCAAGACCATCTGGAGGCCTCTCAGCCCCAGGAGTGGGCAGGGTCCAGCGGGCACGGACAGTGTGAGTCACGGCAGGCTGAGCACCTGGCCCCTGCCACCCTCAGGCCCCGCCCCCAGCCTGACTCAGGGCCAGAGACCCTCCCACACCTGGTCCAGGGCCCTGGGGCCACAGGGTGAGGCTGTGTGGCCTTCTCTGCTCTGCCTGCCTCCTCTGGGCCTGGCAGCGGCCAGCCAGGGCTCGGGGTCCAGGTGGACYTCACCCAGGCTCCATGCCATCCCCACCGATGGGACAGGGGCCCCTGGGCTGGTGGTGGGCACAGTCTCTGGGCAGAAGCAGGGAACCCCAGGCACCCCCTTGGCTCCCTGAAGGTGGGGTGCAGGCCCATGTGGCCCGACGTCACAGACGTGGTCACCTGTYGAGCTCTAAGCCCTGCTGACCTTGTTCCTGCGCCATCCCAGCTCTCCAGGGTGGGCCTGCCCTGTCACTGGCCCCTGGTATCCTGGCTCACCACTCACCTGCAGTCACCTGCCCTGGGCACGGGTGGCCTTGGGCCCTTCTGGGGCCAGGACGGCAGCTGTAATGGCTCCCAGAGGGGGAAGTCAACGGGTCCCTTCCCCTGCCTCAGAGCCCCGCCCCGGCTCATCCACTGATCCCAGAGAAGCTGGAAACCCGTCTTGTTTCGAGACAAGACAGGGGACACTTTACGGGGGACACTTAGGGGCCCACGACTCAGGCGGCCCAGCTACCGCGGCCCGCGCTGCTTCCCCCCGAGGTTCCGTGGAGACACCAGGCCTCGGAGCGGGCCCAGGAGGGACGTCAAGGCCACCTCTCAGACCGAGGCACGGGGCTGGCGACTGGGGGCTTGGTGGCGAGGCGCCCTGTCCCCAGGCCCCCCCCTCCCCACCGCTGGCCTCTCACTTGGGGAAGCAGTCGCCAACGAGGATCCGGCCCAGGGGGTACTCCCGGCCGCCCACCGCGACGGGAGGGCTGACGTCCAGGTTGCCGAAGGAATCCAGGCCYGAGGGGCCGGCGTACAGGATCTCCCGGGTCACGTATCCAAAGTCRGGACCCTGGGGCAGGACAAGCAAGACCCCGCCCAGCAGGAGGGACCCGTTAGGACAGGAGGCCGGGCAGCGGGGAAGGAGGCCGGGCAGTGGGGAAGGAGGACGGCCCTTCTCCCTGGACCTTCTCACCATGGAAGGTCCCCCCACCCTGACAAGCCCTGCTCCACAGCGCTGCGCCACCAAAGCCAGTCACCAAGGGCCACCGAAGTCACCAGGTGTCTGAGAACGGAGCAGCACGTGTCCTAAGAGTCACAGATCAAAGGCCAGGAGGGTCCCGGAGACAAGGAAGAAGATATCAGAACCGTCAGGGCGCCGGGGAGGGTGCCACCCGGGGACCCGCGCTCCGCGCACGTGACACCAGGAAGAGGAAAGGCTGAAAGCCCTCAATGTCCCCGTCACGCGGGGAGAACAGCCAACGAGCCCCAAGGAGAGTCGAGGTCACCAGAGAGGAGAGGGGAGGAGAGGAGGCCCCGCATCTGCAGGACCCGGGCGGCCCCCCTCACGCCCACACGCTGTCCCTGAACGGGCTCTTCGTCACTGGCCCCGGGCGGGGGGCGGGTGTCCCTGCTCTGTGCACCCACGGACTTTCTCCTGACGGCTCCCACCCRGGCCAGCACTGTCCCAGCAGCAGGYAGAGACAGGGGACCCCCTCAAAAGGCCGTGGAGCCCGGGGACGGMCGGAGTGCCGGGGCCGCAGAGGCAGGAGGCGGCCTGTCTGGTCTTGTCTACTGAGGCCACCCCTGACTCACCGCACGGCCTTGGGCGAGGTCCCTAACCTCCCTGAGCCCCAGTTCCCTCATCTATCAAGACGGACCACATAACAGGACTTATTAGTGGCCCGAGTGCATTAACTGAGTGGCCCCTGGCACGCTAGGMAACAGTGCCTGGAACTCAATACACGATGGCAGGTGCTACTGCTGCCTCCTGTGCACAAAAGGTAGCCTAGGGCCTGGCGTGCGACAGGGGTTCAGAAGACACCTGAAGACAGACCCCAGCTCTTCAGAGCATGGTCCTCGAGGATTCACCAGGGTGCTTGCTCTCCAAAACCCAGTCTGGTCTCCCCAGGGCCGCTCACTCTGTTGATTCACCCGCCAAATAAGCTCCTTACCCAGAAGGACTTTGGTGTTCTACTCCTCCCAGGTCCCAGGATGGGGACGGGGACAGCCCGGCTGGTTCCCTGTTCCAAGCCTCCCGGGGACCCCAGGTTGCTGACAGCCCCCCTTCTGCCCCCGTCTCCCCAGCCTCCGTCCCCAGGGCCACACRAGACCTGAGCAGGGTCTCCCCTGGCAGGCGCCCGGGGTCCCCGCTCGGCCACCCACCAGGATCTTCTTGGGGAAGTCCCGCAGGCCCCTGTCCCGGGGAGAGTCCAAGACCACGGGGAAGGACTTGTGAGGGGCCTCCACGTAGCCAAACTCCATCTCGTCCTGGGGCGGGGGGAAGGCGCGGTGAGTCCTGGGACAGGGCAGCCCAGGCGGACCTGGGGCAGGACGGGCAGCAGGAGGGGGCGGGGGCAGGCGCTGGCCGGGCACACAGGCCGTACCCCCCGGGTCCCGGCGCCCAGGGGCCGGAGGCCCTTCCTGCAGGCGACCCCTGCCCACCTGGATCCAGCGGTCRTTCCGATTGTCCACCCGCGGGCAGATGACCAGCTTGCAGTTGGCTTTGGAGGCCAGGTGGGCCATGTCGTCCAGAAACTTCTTATTTGAGCCGTGAGCGTCCATCACACTGCCAGGGCCAGGGAGAGGGGGCGTCACAGTGACCGTGACCACGGCCTGGAGCCCTCAAGTCCCTGCGGGGGAGCTTCGGACTTGACCCCTGTCCCGGGGGGGGGGCTGGGGCCATGGCAGAGGTGGGTGACTTCCCCGGTCGCGTCAGGAGACGCAGTGTGAGGGCAGGGCGGGGCCGTGGAGCCCAGCAGCCGGCACCTGAACCAGCACAGGTGGCGGGGGGCCCGTGACAGTGGCCCTGGCAGTGTCACAGGTCAGGGTAGAAGTGGGAGGCACCTGGCCCCCACCCTGCTCACACACAGGCCTGGCCCAGGGGTCAGAGGGAGGCCCCCAGGAACACCTGTGCGCACCTGGGCCAGGTGGGCAGAACAATCCTGCTTGGCCACACCCTCCCTGGCCCTGGGTCTGCGTCCAGCTCGGGTGTGTCCTCTCCCCTGCTCCCACCCCAGGGCCCAGGGCTGCAGGCCCACCCTTCACCAAGGGCCGGCCCAGACTCAGGGCTGGCAGAAGGACCCGGGCCCCTGGGGGGTCCCTGGAGGCTGGGACTGATGTCCTGGGTGGGCCCGGGAGTTCCCCACGTCAGAGGGGCCAGGGCTCCGTGGCCTCCAGCAGGACCTGGACCCGCTGYCCACACTAAGCCCCAAACAGGACGAGGTGGGCAGGGACGCTGTGGTCCCTACAGCCGACAGCCCGAGGCCGCCTGGCCGTCCTGTGCCCAGCTGTCCTGCGGCTGACCTCCAGGACCCGTCCAGGTGGCGGGCAGCGGAGGTGGGGACCCACCTGCACACGTAGAGCTCCAGAGGGGGCTGGGTGTTGGGGGTCATGATCCAGGGGGCCACGCGGAAGGCCACGGTGTCTGTGAAGAGGGGCTCCTCCGGCAGGGTCTGGGGGAGAGGAGGACTCAGCAGCCCGCAGGGAGCCGGACCCCAGGACCCCGAGACGCCACAGCCCCCGCCCAGCCCCCGCTGTCCGCACCCCTGTGTCCATCAGGCTGACGCTGAGGGAGACCAGGCCCGGGAACTCGGCGTCGGGGAAGGCCAGGCCCTCCACGTAGAACGGGACCTGCCGCTGCCCCGGCTGCCGCTCCACCTCGTGGGACCTGCGCTGCGGCCCCAGCACCTGCTGGTAGTCGGAGAGCGGATCCCCACCTGGAGGAGAGCGGAGCCAGGGCCGGGGTGAGTCTGAGCAAAGCGGGCTGCAGCCAGAAGGCAGGACGTCGTCCACCCCTGAGGCCGCACCRCAGGCTCCTCCAGGACCCAGGAGGAAGCCAGGCACAGGCCCTTCCCGACCGGTCAGTCCCCGTGGACAGAGCAGACCGGCGGCCGCCAGGGCTCGGGGGGGGGGGAAGGGGACGAGAGGGGGAGGAGGTGGTCTGATTGGGAGGTGAAGCCACCTGGTGGCCGTGGTCAGCGGGGGTTGCTGGASGTGTCCCCTGGCTGGCTCTGCTCACAGCAGGGCTTTGCCGCGCCCTGGTCTGGGCTCAGAGCTCCTGACCCCCCTCCCCTCCCCCTCCTCAGTCACCAGGGTCCTTTGGGGCCCAGGTTCCCAGTCAGGGGGGAGAGGAGGGCGAGGGGCAGCGGTTATAAAGCAGGGGTGGGGCGGGGGTCGGGGGGGTGTGCATTTTTGGCAAGGGCCCTGCCTYTGAGCCTCACCCCAGCCCCTAGGGAATGGGGACAGGGCCCAGCTGGCTGGCCCCCACCCCTGCCCTGCCCACCTGGACACAGCCCAGMGGCAGCCAGGTTCTGTCCGGTGGGGACAGGCGGGACCTGGGCCAGGAGGCCAGGGCTGGGGTCYCTGCTCCCYGCCGCTGGCCCATGRGGGTGGACAGTGCACCTGGGCCTCAGTCTCCCTCTCTGTGAAGTGGGCACATGCTGGCTGGTCCCCTCCCGGTGGCAAGGAGGGGACCCAGCCACCACTCACCCTGCGCGCAGAAGACCCGCAGCCGCCTGGCGTCCGGCCAGGGSGCCTTCAGGACCAGCCTGTGGCTGCGGAAGACCTCGTCGGGGCCGTCGCAGCTGAGCACCATGGGGGACATGTCCTGCAGGTCTGGGGAGAGTGGCCCCTTGAGGAGGCCCTTCCCACCCCCAAGGCCCCTCCCACCCCTGCCAAYTCCTGCCACTCACCCTCCAGGGACATCAGCCGGCTGTTCTGCAGGTCAGGCCCCACGGAGTTGTCACTGTCCTTGTCACAGTTAACCAGCAGGATGGCCCCGTGGCCCTCAGGGCCCCAGCGCCAGGTTTTCTGAGGCAAAACAGGAAGGTCAGTGGGAAGCAGGAGGCTCCAGAGAGGACTCCCACGTGGCCCGGGCTGGCTGGTGAGCTCGGAGAATTTGTCCCCTGGGTTTGCTCAAAGATTTAAGGAGGGACCTTAGACTCGGGACTAGYGTACTTGGTGAGGCCTCACCTTGTGCAGTGAACAACCTGAGCAACCATACACGGCGACTTTGCCCAGCCACGACATTGGAGGAGCAAGGCTGACRTGGCCAAGCCCAGAAATGGTCCTCAGAGCTGGCTGGGCTTCATCCCTACCTGGGGGCCAGGCTGCCCACCTTGAACTTGACTTCACAGGGCCACTGCCAGCCTATACAGCACTCCTTGGCACAGTTGTCCACCTCTCATGGTAGATACCACCATGCACATGATTTGCATTATACTCCCACCTACCACCTAAACCAAGCACCCTTGTGCAGTGAGCAACCTGCACAGCCTCCCACGACGGCCCTGCACTACCTCGTCCACCAAGCCCTGTGTTCCTGGCTGCCTCTCTGGGCTGCTGTTCCTTCCACCCCTTCCAGGACAGCTTCCAGCTACTTCCTGTGGTGTGATGCTCGGAGCCCACCCCATTGTCCTCTTCACCCTCCCTGGTCCACCTGGGCTGGCTGCCAGGGCCCCCTACCAGGAGGAGGTCATTCAGTCACTCGTCAACGTGTCACCGAGCACCCGCCCTGCGTGGGGCCCAGATGCAGCTCCCGAATTAGAAAAGGCAGCAAGGGAGACCGTGTCCAGCAGTCACACGGGAAGACRCTGACGTGCTCCCATGCCCATGAGCCATCCCTGGGGGGCTCCCTCGCTGCCCGAGGCCCCGGGCCCCGGGAATCCATCTCCCTGTGGAAGGAGGGCCCGTCCACCCGAGACCGCCCCGGGTCTGCCGGCCAGCCCCGGGTCCTGGGGTAGCCGGGCGGGCCTCACCTTGTCACGGCCGCTTCTCCTGACCTTGCCGACGCGGTCAGTGTCGACGTCCAGGGAAACGTCTGGGAAGGGTGGACAGGGCCCTGTCTTCACTCTCGTGAGGCCCAGATTGGCCAGCCCCCTCCCAGGTCAGGAAGGACCAGCAAGCCCAGCCCTGGGACTGTCCCCTACTCTCGGGAGGCCCTGTGGTTCTGGCCCAGGGTGACACTCGAGTCACCTGCTGGTCTGTGTGTGCTGAGTGGATCCTGTGGGTGGCCCTGGGCTCACAGGCCACATGCCGGTGGCCTCTAACGCTGGCAGCCGGGGACTCAGAGTGGGCTGCCGGGGCTCTGGGTGAAGGGGCCGTGTGGCCTCAGGGCCTGGCTGGGGACCCTGGTGACCCCTCGGGGCCTGTGTGGGCTCCAGGTGAAGGAGGCCTCCGTGGCTCGGGCCCTTGGTCTCTGGACAGAAGTTTCTAGACCCCGTGGCCCTGAGTTTGGCCGGGTGTCCACCCCGGGGTTCCAGAGTGGGCAGAGGGGTCAGTCCTTCCTCTGAGGCGGGGGAAGCCGGCCGAGGGCCCCTCAGGACCCTGGCACAGCCGGCCGTCGGCGGTCGGCCGGGTGGCACTTACCCACGCAGGTGAGGAGCAGCACGCTGCGGCCCAGGGCCTCGCCCCCCTCCGCCCCGAAGTAGGCCACCGTCACCTGCGGAGCAGAGTCCGCCCTCAGCCACCCGCAGAGCCACCTGCAGAGGCCGCGGCGCAGACAGGGGACAGCCCTGCCCAGCACAGGGCCGGCACAGGAAGCCCAGGGCCGCGGGGTCCGAGGGTCCCAGGCGCTGGCTGGGCGCAGAGCCGCCGTCTGGGCTGGGAAGCCGGGGGATGGAGGGGCAGGAGACGGACAAGGGAAGGGCGCGTGGCCTCTCGAAGCCACCTCAGTGCAGGGGACCACGACCACGGCCCCAGGCCAGGGGCCACCYGAGCTGCAGACCCCGCAGCCGAGTCCTGCTCAGGCGTCTCCGTGACACAGCAGGGTCCCAGCCCTGTCCCCGTCAGCCCTGGGCCTGGCTTCTGCCTGC